AAGTCCATATTAAGATCCCTTTAATTAAAATACTTATTATGTTGATTCATCTTAAAAACCTATTGAAATTATTAGAAATCAACAATAATCAACTTCTGTTTCAAAAAGTGGATTTAGAAGAAACAGCAGTTTAAGTTAAATAAATATCTTTAAATTACCTCTTCATAAAACAGTCTAAACTATAGGGGAAGACCTTTGTAATTTGTAAATTGAAGGATAAAATGTTTTACAAAAGGAAACTGAATTAATAAAACATTATAACTCGAATGAAAAGTTTAGACTTTATAAATTAGAGAAGGAATGTGAAACAGACGTCTGACTTAATATAGTATAGTTCATAAGCATAATTTTATAAATATTTGCTATTAGTCTCCAAAAATGTTTTTGATTCTCCCTGTCTATTGGTGTTGAGATCCTATTTTTAAACAAGTATAGGAATTATAAGAGCAAGGAGGTAAAAACATATAAGAGAATTTTAAAGAAGTAAAAGAGCAGAAGGAGGAGTAAAAGGCTCTTTAAGTTTGGAACAGGAGCATGAATAATATTCATTTTTCTTTATACATATCACAATTAATGTAAAAAAGTATATGAATTTTTCTTTATAGCTCTCTTATTGCTTCTATTGGAAGCTAAAAGGAGAAAAAAACCCTCCATCAGTATCGGGATTATTCACTCCTACTATTTAAAAACTACCACAAAAACTTGTTATTAATGAAAGCCAGAATTGAAACATAGATATTTCCCATCAATGGAGCACAACTCTCCATTCAAAATAATCATGAAAATTATCCAACTTATTGGTTAATGTTTTTTTATCGATGATATCATAATATTATCTTCATTTATTAAGATTTAGCATTAAAATCAACGATTATGAAATGAAGAATACAATTTTTGATTTTATTATAAATTCATTTATTATAGAATAATTCTTTGATAAGTGTTCTAATATAAGTCTGATTTTAATTGAAAATATAAAAAGATTAATTTAATAATTTTTTCTGATTTTTTATTGCTCTTTTCTCTATTTTTCTTTCTTATATCAAGTCTTCTGAAGATTTAATTATCTGTTTTTTGAAATTTTATAAGCTCTTCTTCTTTTTGATCTAAAGTTAATTTTGCAATTCAAGAGTTGCATCTTCTTTTGGGTAATTATTCTCAACATATCTATGAGTAGTATGCCAATCCTGTTGGATTATAATGCTATCGATTTTCACCATAAAATTTAGAATTTATAAGCATAATTTGTTTGATTAGTTTTTCTAAGATCACGTTAAATTAAAATAAAAGCTCCTATTTTGTTTATTTATAAAGTAATTATAATTAATATATTTTCTAACATAAAATAAATATTGCTCATATCTAGTATAATCCAAATATAAAAAAAATGAATGAAATTATCACAATGAATAAAATTGTTTCAAAAAAATATTTTAAATCCTTATATCTTAATTTTTAATTATTCCATTAATTTTAATATTCCTATTAATCATAAATAAAATAATTTAATAATACATATTGCACTATCTGTAACTTCTAAACTTCATCCTTTTGTATCATATTCTATTTAAATTATTTAATGAGAGACTTTTAGTGATTTTTCTATATATTCTCCTAAAATACTCTTAATGATAATTTGGTCATTAATCATATTGTTTTGTTGCTTCACATTTTTAGTCAATCTCTACTTATTCTCATTTGAATTTTCTTCTATTTTCTTTTAACCATGAACTTCTTTATATTGCTTTTAGCTTCGCCATTGATATCTAGGATTTTTAATTTAAAAAAAAATTAATTTTATCATTATTATCTAATTATTAACCAGTAATTTAAAATAGAAATTCTACATAATTGAATAGATATAATAATTTAATTTATTATTAATCATGACCTAAAAAAATTATTTATTTCAAAATTACATAGAAAATATGGACATAATTGTAAAAGCTCCTAAATTAAATTCTATTACTCCATCAGGAAGATTTGGAGTTGGAAATCCTATATTTTTGTAATTTGATAATTAATCATAAGATAATTTACTAATTTTCATGCAGAATGCTGGAGTTCTGCATAAATAATTGAATCAATTATGATCTCAACCATTTCTTTTGTTTATACAAAGGAAAATACAACTAGAGAGATTATTAGTAGTTCATAAGAAAAATATATATATTATGAATTAGAATAGAATCATCATTAATTTGATTAATTATAATGAATTAGTTTTTTATTAGAGACATCATTATATTATTATTGTAAAGTATAGTTTAATGATAAATAAATCAATTTTTACACTCAATTATTCATTATTAAATTTGTTGCATAATCTTATTGTAATCTTCACATCCTTTTCTTAATGAATTAATCCAACTTATTGGAGCTCTAGAAGCAACATAGTTAACTAAACTCTATTTTTATAGCATAATAATATTTTACTTTTGGAATATCACCTTTAACATCATTGTTTGAACAAAAATATAGTCTACTTCCCCCAGGTATTGATTCTAAAATATAACCTGAAATTAATGTTTCAGCTCTTATATGGCCTTTAAATTTAGGAGCCTTACTATGTTCAACACTAAAATATAAAAGACAGGTTTGTCCTGGTTTTGGAAAATCATATTTCAAAATTCTTTTTTAACAAAATTCTCTATTATCAACACAAGGTGGACTTTTAACATAGTAATAAATGATATCTACAATAGCAGATTCCCTCTCTAATACTTAGAAACTCAATAAAATTTTATCCCATTTTTATCTATACTTTTCATTATGTATAGCTTTTAATAAGACATCTATTGTAATTCCTATTAAATCACTATGACCTTTTACAAAAACAGCTGGATTTCCAGGTTTGAAAGTTTTGTAAATGATCAAATTTTCTTTTTTTAATATGATTTCCCATCCATCTATAGGTTCTTCAATAAGATCAACTAGTAGTTTAAATTTTTCTTCTAATTCAGCTGAAAGTTAATAAGTTCTATCTGAATTGATTTAATTATCTTAAGCTTATTATTATACTCTATGAATTTATGATTGTTATTATGAATGTTCCATTTGTAGACATAATATCTATTATAATTAGCTTTATTGAATCAAATTTTCTGGAATACATTAAGATCCTCTTTTTTCTGTATTATCAAAAATAATTTAATCAGATTATTGTAAAGGTTATTATTGTTATTATTATTATTATTATTAATTTTATTGGATGATTAACTAAGATTATTATTTTGAAGTAAATTGTTAATCATTTTTATCATCATATGATTTAGCCCTAGCTCTCACTTAATTTTTCATTATTAATGGAACTTGAGCTTAAAATTCTTAATCTATATCCTCATTTATGGATACCATATCTCCTTAACTTTTCCTTCTTTATTAACTTTTAGATGGTGAATTTTACTCTCTATTTTATTATTATTATCTATAATTTTGTATTTATAAGAATTTTTCTAAATCTTCTACCTTAACTTTTTAATTAAGTTTAGCAGCGAACATTTTAATAAATTCAATTGAAAGCTATTAATCAAAATAACTTTATTAGCACTTTAGTACAATTTTGTTAACTTATAATTATTTGATTTTTTATATCAATAATCTGATTACATCATTTTTTTCATATTATTTTGCATCTTAAAATAATGTTAAAAAAGGGATTAAAACATCTGAAACAGTTTCATTTAACACATATGAAATCTAAAAAATAAACGATGATTATATGTAGTTACTTCATAATTACTAAATTTTGAATAAATGATTTTTTATTCAACTATTTGAATATATTCCTTCGTTAATTTATAACTAAGACATAATGCATAGATTGATTATTCTTTAGATAGCCATTCTCTTATTTTTACTAATAAAGTATGTGATTCTTTTTGAAATTTCTCATCAAAATACTTATAATGCAATAAAGGTTTGATTTCTGTTAAAATTCTTTGAACACAAAACCTCTATAAATTGATATTGTTTGTATATTTTATCATAATCAATTTACCCTAAATTATTAAATTGAAATTTACCCATTTTAATAAGCATTTTACTCGAATAATAAATATATCAAATTCAGTTAAATTTATCCCTTTAGTAGCTATTTTTTTTGAGATTTTTCTTCCTAAATATCTACCTAATATAATCCCGATAGCTCCTCCACCTATGGCTCCTAAAAAAGTAAATCCAAGTGCCAAGAATCCAATTACTCCTAAAACTGTCATTCCGATTATAGTGCTAATTTAGTTTCATAAGTTACCCTAAGTTTTAATTATTACCAAGTTGAATATTTGTAAAGATGGTTTTATGCTCAAGTTTTTATTAATCAGTAAGTCCATATATTGGCAAAAATGTAGCATCACTCAATAATTAATTAATTAAATCTTTAAGCTCCATAGGGTTATGAATGTTTTTTAAATATAAATTTACTAGTGAGGTCAACGATTTTGGATTTTTTAATTTCATGTTAATCATTATAATTTATTATATATATATATTATATAAATCTAATATTAACATAGAAAATGACTGATTAACTACTTCCTAATTTCAATCTTGATTTCATTTCCATTAACCTTAATTTATAGAATATGTGATGAATTAATTATTAATTCATACAATTATAATCAAACAATAAATCTAAGCCAAAAGATATAAGAAACAATGACTTTTAAATAAAACAGAGATTAATTTTATAAAAAAATTGATTAAACAAAAATTGACAATATGTACACCTTTAAACTAAAAATTATATATATTTATTTAATAAACTTATATTTTATGTCGAGACAAGTAATTAGATTGCCAGCTGAAGTAAATAGAATACTTTATGTAAGAAATTTACCTTATAAAATTACTTCTGAAGAAATGTATGATATCTTTGGAAAATTCGGAGCTATTAGATAAATTAGAAAGTAAANATTTAACACATATGAAATCTAAAAAATAAACGATGATTATATGTAGTTACTTCATAATTACTAAATTTTGAATAAATGATTTTTTATTCAACTATTTGAATATATTCCTTCGTTAATTTATAACTAAGACATAATGCATAGATTGATTATTCTTTAGATAGCCATTCTCTTATTTTTACTAATAAAGTATGTGATTCTTTTTGAAATTTCTCATCAAAATACTTATAATGCAATAAAGGTTTGATTTCTGTTAAAATTCTTTGAACACAAAACCTCTATAAATTGATATTGTTTGTATATTTTATCATAATCAATTTACCCTAAATTATTAAATTGAAATTTACCCATTTTAATAAGCATTTTACTCGAATAATAAATATATCAAATTCAGTTAAATTTATCCCTTTAGTAGCTATTTTTTTTGAGATTTTTCTTCCTAAATATCTACCTAATATAATCCCGATAGCTCCTCCACCTATGGCTCCTAAAAAAGTAAATCCAAGTGCCAAGAATCCAATTACTCCTAAAACTGTCATTCCGATTATAGTGCTAATTTAGTTTCATAAGTTACCCTAAGTTTTAATTATTACCAAGTTGAATATTTGTAAAGATGGTTTTATGCTCAAGTTTTTATTAATCAGTAAGTCCATATATTGGCAAAAATGTAGCATCACTCAATAATTAATTAATTAAATCTTTAAGCTCCATAGGGTTATGAATGTTTTTTAAATATAAATTTACTAGTGAGGTCAACGATTTTGGATTTTTTAATTTCATGTTAATCATTATAATTTATTATATATATATATTATATAAATCTAATATTAACATAGAAAATGACTGATTAACTACTTCCTAATTTCAATCTTGATTTCATTTCCATTAACCTTAATTTATAGAATATGTGATGAATTAATTATTAATTCATACAATTATAATCAAACAATAAATCTAAGCCAAAAGATATAAGAAACAATGACTTTTAAATAAAACAGAGATTAATTTTATAAAAAAATTGATTAAACAAAAATTGACAATATGTACACCTTTAAACTAAAAATTATATATATTTATTTAATAAACTTATATTTTATGTCGAGACAAGTAATTAGATTGCCAGCTGAAGTAAATAGAATACTTTATGTAAGAAATTTACCTTATAAAATTACTTCTGAAGAAATGTATGATATCTTTGGAAAATTCGGAGCTATTAGATAAATTAGAAAGTAAATCACTTTAAATCAATTTTTTTTAGAGGAACGCATGGAGATAAAAAAGGAACAGCTTTTGTTGTTTACGAAGATATTTATGATGCCAAAAATGCTTTTGATAACTTATCTGGTTTTAATGTTGCTGGAAGGTATTTTTCTATAAATTCTTTTATAGATATTTGATCGTGCTTTATTATTAACCATAAAAAATGTAGGAAAGGCAAGATCTGGAATTTTAGAAAAAGTAAATTGAAAAACTTCGTGAATAATAGAGATAATAATAGTAATGAATTATATAATGAATTAATAATTTACAGATATTATTAATGATTAACTCAACCCTATTCTGGGAGAATTTATTTCTCAAACACTAACATCTTCAAGCATTATAAACTCTCCCCTTAAAATCATTAGGCAATCTAATGTAGTAGAAATTTAAAACGTTCATACAAAATACAAAAGAGTAATTAAAGAAACTATATAATAAATAATTCTTGAAATTGAGAAATATTATCAATAACTTATAGAAAAAAATTAAGCCATTATTTTTAAACTATATTAAAGAATAGCTGAATAAACTTCAGTTATTTAACAATTATAGAACTTAGTAAATTAACTGACTTAAGAAAATATAGAGTTTAGAACTAAAAAACCTGAAGAAGAAATAACACAAGAATTTTATGACCCGCAATAATACACGATTAGACAATAGAAAAAGGAATTATTGGAATTATATGATATAAGTGATCAATTATAAAATAAATTAAAAAGATAAGAGAGTATAAATAATTAATTGCTCGATACAATTAAAAGATAAAATTCATAATTAAGTTCTTAATAACAAAGTATTACAGAATAATAATTAATGATATAAAATTAAAAATCACGGATATTAGAACATCAAAAATACTAGGCTGAATTAGAATAGCAAATAATTGACATTTAGAAATAGTCGTAAAAAATAATAGAACGTTAAAATGATTAAGAGAGAATTGAAATACACTCAAGCAAAGCCAAATATTTAACTTTGAACTAAAATGATTCAATTGTTAGTAAATTCAATAAACCAGAAATTTAAAACATAAATAATAAATAACTCAACCCATTAAAAAATTTACTAACAACAGATTAAGAAACTGAAACTTAACCTTCTTAGAAATGTCTATTTTAAAAAAGATAGAAACTTCTTTTACAATCTTTAGAATATCAAAATTACAGTGACTTTGAAATCAGCGTTAAAAATAGATACCAATCTAAAAATACAATTAAAAAAACAGAATTATTTGATATTTCTGAGATCATTAAGCCAAAATATAAAAAAAAACCTTAAGATTTGGATGAATTATACTTATATTCTCATCGATATCGAAATAGCAGTGTAGACCATTATTATGAACCGCCTAAATAATATAGATTTAATATTAAAAAGACATTAATTTCTCCTTTAAGTCAAAGAAACACTGATTAAAAGAGAATCGGTCTCTGTACATTGGAATGATGTTTATTGTAATTATGTCAAAAAATTATAAATATTTATTTACCTTTATTTTATTATATAATGAATTTTTATTTCTTTATTTAATTAGCAGTTGAAGCAGAATTAAAATTAGAAGAGATGAGGATATTATTAGCAAAATTTAGATAATTTTGAATCATTTACAAGTAATAATTAATATTAGATATTAGCTTATAAACTATTAGATTAACCTAGAACAGGAGGATTAAAATCTGATAATATATTTGAATTTTTAAATGATAATGATATTTAGATAACACAAGATCAACTTGATTACACATTTAGAGCATTAGATGAAGATTCTAGTAACATTTTCAGAGCATTATTTTGGTTGAAATAATTAGCTTTAAAAGAGCAATATTACCTAAGATGAATGATTAAGTGAAAATATTAAGCCTTGAATCATAATAGTTATGACCTTCCTGTTAATATGTTACTACCAATAAAAATAGAAGCATAATTAGCATAATTCTTTATTTAGATAAAATAAAATTATATGTAAATGATATTCTTATCCCCAGACAATATTAGCAAATATAATTAACTAAAAATTGATTTGAATTAGTTGGATATTTATGATAAAGATTATGATATTACAATAAATTCATTAAAGGATTAGTTTTAATAGCTAGGAAAAGATATCAAAGAAGAAATTCTCTAGAATTTTATTATTATTATATAAGGATAGCAATTTTAGCTTTAAAATTGTTAGATCAAATTTACACTAAAAACGAAAAAGATTAAGATTAATTTAACGAGTAAAAGAAGAAGAGAATTTTAATAAGGAACAATAAGAGAATGATAAAGTTGAAATTGAAAAATGGAAAGAATTAAAATAAGTCTAATAAAATGATGCAGAAACTGATATATATCGCAAGATTAGTTAACACAATAATTAGTAGGAACACTAATCTGAAGTATTAGAACATAATAAAACACATAATAATGATTTACATTATGACATAGAATTTGAAATTTGTTAATTAAAGAAAAAATTTATGACTTAGAAATACAACTAGAAAAACAATCTTAATTAAATAAAAGTTCTTTATAGGATAGCTGTTTGAAAAAGTATAAAATAAAGAGTTACAGAAATTCTCAAGAATGAGTTACCTAAAAACATTTGATTATCCCCCTTCTGAAGATGGCAAAGATTTAATAATAATTTTATCTTCTAAAAAATAATTATTCATATACTAAGAAAAATAAGAAATTAATATAACCTCTACATTAAATTAATTGAAGAATTCAGAAAGAACAAATTGTTCCGGTTTTTTTTTGGATGGATCATAAAAGTATTTCATTTTCATAATTTAGTCCCATATATCAAAGTCCTCTAGATTCATCAAAATATTGTTCTGATTATTCTGGAAATAAAACAAGACTTTTTAATTATTTATAGGAAAGTAAAAGTAATAGAAAATCATATCTAAATTCCTTCTAGAAATCAATCAATTTTAGCAATAGAAAATTTTTGAAATATTTAAATTATATTTATTTTTATTTTAATTTTATTAATCTCATTTTTCATCAGGTGTTGGAAAACTCTTTGGATCAAGAATAAACCCTTCACCTGATTATTCTTATTAATTTCCATTTGTATAATAATATTAATTATAATGAATTTGTTATGAATCTTTTTATCCAATTTAAAATATAGTTCTATTTTAGTTATTTCTATTTCTTTATTATCCATATTAAGTATTATAATTATTATATTAATGTCTATTATTATTGTTATTTTAAACATAATGTTGTTAATTGTTCCATGATGATTACGATTGATTTGGTTGAACAGACTTGTACGCTTTGGTTTAATCAATCACTGAAGGATCCATTGCTTTTAATTTATCCAAAGTTCCTTATAATATCAATTATAAATTATTTTAGAATTATTCTAAATATATCCACTTTCCTGGAGAACCAAATGAAATCATTAGACTGGGTTTTAAATAATTTTATGAATACCAAACATCCATATTTTTAGTTGGAAATCCTCCTTAAGTCTAAATAAAAAATCCAAATTACTTTGTTTGATTTATCTATATAAAACCATAAAGATTCATTAATGTCTTTATTGTGTAATTAAGCTTAAATAGAGAATGGTGAAATTTTAATTTATTCACTCTTAAAAAGAACAGTAGGAATCTAATCTACTGTTTTAGAATGCGAATTTTCATTATTGTTATTAAGACCCAAAAGTTGATTTAATTCATCATCACTGATACAAGTTTCTTAAACTTAAGATACTTCTTATAATTTATTATTATTATTATGAATTTAATTCGATTGTTACTGCTTTTCTATTTCTTCAACTGTGAATATCGTATGATTAATCTCTACAGGCTATTATTATGATTCGTTATTTGAAGAAAAGAGCTCAATTAATTTTAATTTAGTTTCTATTGCAGCTTATGATTATTTTAATTCTTATTCCCTTTTTTCTCTGTATTTTTATTTTTCGATTTCAATACTGTCTATTGCCTCCTGCTTAATTTAAGATTCTTCTATTTTTTATCTCTTCTCTTCCTGCTTTTTTTCAAATGTACCATGATTTTTTTGATATTGTTCTCTTTTTAACTAAATTTCATTTTCTATATCATTTAATTAAAAAGGGGCATTGAAATATGACTCTTGCATCCATTGAGGTTCTTCTTCATCACTATGATTACAATTTGAATTCTAAGAAATTGGCTTGAATGGTTTAGTTGTAAATAATTAAGGTAAATTTTTGATCAGCAAGATAATGTCATCTGGAGGTTATAAATATTCTCGGTAAGCTGAAAGTAATAATTTTGCATCATAAACATTATTTTAAGGCTAGCATATTTATTATTTCTCTAAGAATATTCGTAAGATCATATTTACATTCATATTCCACTCTCTTATTATCATTTTAATAATGTTATCGATTGTTGTAATATTTTTTGTTTCTTGAATATCCATCGTAATTATTATTATGTGACTATTAATAAATATTTATTTTTTACTTTTCGATATGGTTAAGTATCTCTTCTCTATTCCTGTTGATCTTTAGCTATATACTAAACTTGATAATGATATGATTTTGACATTATGTTTATTTTATTCTTTTTTTTATTAATATAATTAGAATTTCTAATTAAAATTTTATTCATAGCTTTCAGGTAAGAATATATTAGTCAAGAATCTTAAATAATCATCCTTAAGTTTCAATCTATAAATTTACCCGCTATTATACAATACGACATAATAAAATTTAAAAATCCTTCTTTTGAATTAAAAATTAGAAAGTTGAAACTCTATGGTTTTTTTACTAAACTTAAATGTTATCAATTATTTTTTATCTATTTTGTGTATATTATTTAAAATAGTTTTAGTTTTTATCTTATTATTTATTTAATTTAATTAATATGAAAAAAAAATTTTTCTTATATGTTACTAAAAACTGACTGAAATTGGAGCAAGATATTGATTAAAAGGAAATAATTTATCAAAAAAAATTATAATTAATACTAATAGATAGGCATGATTGTAACTATAAACAATTATTCAGGTTATTAAGGAATTAAAAAGAAAGAGGATGCAACTTCTACTTAAATAACCGAAAGGTATGCATAGGAATCCTAAAATAATACTATTTTAACACAAAATTTGGGACATTACTAAAGTCGACAATAATCAGATGCAAACATTGAATAATTCAACCTATATCCTAATGATATTCATATGTATAATACTCCTAAAAAGTAATAAAACTAAAATACAGAGTTTATTGAATAAAGTAATGAAATATTAAAAAACTCTAAAATAAACATAACTACTGAGAATGTTAATATAATAACAAGAAAATTAAGTTCATCAACAATTGTTATTAAAAAAATGGAGGAACAAGAATGTAAATATTGCAGATAAATTGATTCACTATATAATTTTATACGCCCTTGCCTTTGCAAAGGATCAATGTAGCATGTACATCAATAATGTGTATAAAAAGATATTGAGAGTAATTTTATGGATGAGAATCAAAGAAAATTCATCAAACCTATTAGATGCGAAATTTGTTAATTTGTTTTTAAAATTAAAATATATAGAGAGATTAATTTGCTATAATCTTTTAAGGATCCTAATAAACATGAAAAGCTTTTATTTCTATCATTTGTTTTGATAATTTTAACTTTGATAATGATTGGGCTTGTCATATTGTCAATTCTTATTAAAGAGGAATTAAGAATGCATATTGACTTATTAATGGGAATTGTGATTGCTTTTTTGATAGTTTTAGGATTAATGATAGCTTTCTCTTTAAATTTTATAGATTTAATTACAAATGTATTTATTTATAACTTAATAATTATAGTATTATTGGTTTGTATTGGATCGACAAATTGGAAATAAAGTTGATAATGGAATTTAGGTGGATTATTAGAGTTTGAATTTAATTTTGCTAAGTGGAACACTAAAATACTAATGGAAAAAAAGTTAAGTACTACCACTAAATGAATGAGAATATTTTATTAATAAAAATATTATAATATAAAAATATATCTCCAATGAATGTTGAAGATTTAAGAAATGAATTGAATGAATTACACAAAAAGTAAGCAGAAAGTCTTACAAAAAGGAAGACGATTATAAAGGAGATTAAGAACTTCACATTTTAGTATTGGTTATTTATAATATTAATTAGAAAATAAGATTACAAAAAGATAAAATTAAATGATGGAAAAGAATAGGTAGTTCTTATTGTTTTGATTGTATAGAAAGTATTTCAAATAAATCTTGTGGGTGCTAAGGAAGAACGTGCAGAAAAGTAAAAGTAGCTTGATGAACAAGTACCCACTATCTCGAAGGAGAAGGATAGACGTTTAGCGAAATCTTTATTAGGAAATCATCTGTTAAAAGCAAAATAAGACTTGATAGGTGAGAAATAGAAGGTATTTATATTCTAATCAATTAAAATAGTTGGAAAAATAAATAGAGATAAATAAGCGATTAGATGATAAAGACAAATTAGATTTACAAACTCTCAAAGAAGATTAAAATGTATTTCTATTTTATGAATTTTTCAGAAAAAGAAGAGTTAATTAGTTAATGAGAGGAAGTAATTAGAGCGTGATTTAGCTGCTGATGAATATAAAAGATAGGTATTTAAATAAATATTTTTTAGGTTCTATTACTTGAATTATAAATAAAAATAATGAGAGATTTTTTTATTACTAAGTAAATTATTTGATGAAAATATTTTAGAACATATCCTCATATTTTATGGTAGCCTGCTAAAACAAATGAGGGTATGAATCCTCTTAAAGAATATAGTAGTGAAAAGTTTAATGTAAAATATTGATTAGAAGTAAAATAGGAAATGGAAAAGGATTTAAAGGAAAAATTGTTGAAAGCATACACTAACTTCAGTGAATCGTAATATTAAAAGTTGAAGGAATAATAAGTTTAATAGGAGCACGAAAGTTCATAATCAGAAAGCGAGGAGTCATAGGATAAATAAAAGGCTAAAGGGTAAGAATGATGAAAAATTATAGGTAATAATATTAGATTTAGTTTAATAAATATTAAAAAAATTTTGTGTGTTTATTTATAAATAATTTATATCAAAACTTGATATTTAATCCATAAAAATGTCCAGTTAATTTGAAGGTATTTACGATATTTAATAATTAATTTTTACATAAAAAAAATTCTCATATGATAAGTAATCTTAGAAGTTAGGATAGTGTTCAAATGTCTATGATGCAGTAGCCATTTTCTTTCTAAAATGTTTATCATAGTTTTGACGGTAATGATTAGAGAATAAAGGTAATCTAATAAATAATAATTAATTAGATAAATTAGCTCTAAATAATTTAACATAAATTTATAAAGTGTCTTAACAATTTGATTCGACATTAGAATAACAAAAAGAAAGGAAATATAATTGTTTTACCAAACCAAAATAATCAGTTATATGTATTTAATAATTCTAAAATTCAAGATTATTTTTTAGGATGACAAAATTTTGAGAAAGATTAAAGTTTAGGAATCAAATGACAGTACTTTCATGTCTTTTCCAAGAAATACATTTCCTCTTATATAATGTAACAATTTAAAAAATCATTAGATTAACCATATCCTTAATTTTATGCCAATTATCCACAAGAATAATATGCACCAATGCAATACTAAATAACTAATCCTATCTTATAATCTTAAGATAGGTTTTTAGTTTAGCCTAAATAAGTTCAATAAAATCAGCATTTTCGAACATCTGATTTTTAGTTTTTTGGTTCTCATGATGATTCTGAATCTATTGAACCTTATTAGGTTGAAAAAGATAGTAAGGAACATAAAAATTCTTATTTTAAATTAAAGAATAGAATTAAAAAAGGAAAAGTAAATGATACGAAAAACATTACTAAAAATTTTTCTAAAGCAATAATTACTTATATTATATAAAATAAAGATATTGGACTAAAAATAATGAATTATGAATAATTTGAAGAATTTGTAACAATTTTAAAAGATAAGAAAAATCAGATGACAAATATTAAATAACTCAGGGATCTTTGGGTTGAAACGAATGAAGAGAAAAGTTAATAATTTAATAAAGCATTTAGAATTTTCAGGTATATTTTTAATCAATAATTAATAGTGAATACTTTTTAAAACAATAGTCAGTGTCTTACATTTATAATTCAAGAATAGCAAATACTGGATGGCATTTAAAATACAGATATAACTTACTTCGAGCACTTAAAGAACCAGAAAATTTTAAATACATCAAAGATATTTGAATTATAAAATTTTAATATATGATATTTATTTATAATTTTCATACATGTTTACTTAAAGCTGCCTTAACTGATTTTGCAATATTTGTTTAATCCTTTTTTTCATCCTCATTATTATTCTATTATTATTATTAAGGCTTTTATGTGTATTTCAACAGAACATTTCCTGTTGGTGCTTATTATTAACTTAAAAAGATATGATAAAATATTACTTTTATTGTAGCTTTTTGAATTAAACACTTGGAGAGACAAATTAATTCATATTTGGAGATTCTAAAATAGTTATTCATATTTACCTTCACATGCAACAGTTCTTCCTGTTATAACGGGTGTTCTCATAATCATTTGTTAATCTTTATTTTAACCTTCTTTCATTTTATTAGTAGCTTGCATAACAGGAGATTTAATAGGTGAATTGGTTAATTGATTAATTCTAAGCATGTCAAATTTTGCTGCTCTAAATGAATAGATTTTTAATTTAATACTGTTCATTAATTTATTAGATTCTAACATTTAGACCTGGTTTATCATCGGTATCCCCAATATTTCCATCATCTTCCTATTAAACATTTACAGGTTTCTCGCATAATGCAACGAATTCATATTGTAAAGCATCCATTGCTGTAATTCTTTTTTTAGGTGATGGTTCCAACATATGTTTAAGTAAATCAAAAGCAGGTGGTGGTACAACATCAAACACTGGACTTTTGAAATTAACTTTTGCTTCTTTATTTTATTAGACTATTGTATTATAGCTTCTTCCAGGAAATCCTGGTTTACCTGTTAACAAGATATGGAAGACTAATCCAAGAGAATAAATATCACAAACACTATCATAGGTTGTTGTCATATCAGTAATATTGATAACCTCTGGAGCCACAAATCCAGGAGTTCCACATCTGCAATAAAGATAAACTGGTAGATTTACAAATGTAGCTAAACCAAAATCGGCTATCACAACTGAATTGATATCGCTATTTTCGTTTAATCAATAATAATATTATACTTTTATTCTTTGAATAATATGTTTTCTAATTTTAAATCTCTATGCATAATATTTTTAGAATGCATATGTGCCAATCCTTCCAATAGTCCTTTCATAATTGCTTGAATTTATTTGTTTGTTAAAATTACTTTCTTCTTCATTATTTCATATAATTATCCCCCTTATAATAATTCTAATCCCATATATAAAGAATTCTGAGTTTCATAAACCTCATATAATTTCATAATATTAGGGTGATCAAGTTCTCTCATTATTGTTATTTCATTAATTAAACCTTCCTTTAAATATAATCATATTTCAATACCTTTCCATTCTCTTCAGCATAAACTGCACTTTTTGAAAATGCCTTGATTGCCATTTATTATCCATCCTCAATTCTTTCAGCTAAATAAACACTTGCAAAGTTTCCTTTTCCTATCTTTTTAAAAACTTTGAACATATGATGGAATCCCATCTGATTGATTTTTTACCCAAAATATTTTCGAAATGTTTTTAAAATTTCTTAATCACCAGTGAAGTCCCAATATTTTTTTTTTTTTCTGTTTTTTCACTTTGTAATCTTATATGCAAGATATCACCTAAAGTCTGAACATCTTCTGGTTTTACAATATCAACTCTATTAGAGTGAGGAGTATTAGGAGTTGATTTTTTTTAAGATGCATTGGCTTTCAAAACAGGAGCATCTCTAAATATTTCAAATCTTGTTGTAAAATCCAAAGGAAGTAATTTATGAACATGTTTACTTTTATCCTATTCAATATAACTTCAATTACTTTGAATAATAATATATGTTTTTCAGTTATCACTAAATGTCTTTCATGTTATTTTTTTCCTAATTTTGTTACTGTGGCTTCAAATTTAGGTTTGGGTAATACAAAATCTTAAGGCACAGTTTACCACAATGGTCCTTGTCCCCCTTATGTTTATTATTATAACATAAAATTAAATATAAAACAACCTTAATTAGATATTGTAAGCAAAAATAAATTAAAATATATCCAGAAAATCAATATTTATAATATGTGTAATTGGGATTCAATTTGTTTCTTATAAGTTTAACAAACCTTATTTACTACTAATACTCTAAATCTATTTCTTAATAAAAGAATGATAACTAATAAGTATTTTTGATTCAATATTAATCAAAAAAAAGGGAATTCATGTATATTTATTACTAAATTTCATAAATTTGTTAATATAGTATTCAAATTCATAGAATATTTGTTCGAATATCTGATGTAATTAATTAATATTAATTTTTTTTTCTACTTAAATACATAATTAAAAACTAATAATTTATAATTTAAATGTATAAAATTATGATAGGAAGTGATAATGAGTTAGAGCAGCTTGTATTAGAATTAAATGGTGTCTATTCCTATTTGTAATTATATTTACGGTTATAACTATTTTTAACAGCTAACATCTCTACTTTATTAATACTATCAAATTTCTAAAATAGAAGCCTCCTCCATAGATACATTTCCAAAAAATTTCATCAAATTTATAATTATGTTCAATACTTTATATTTATTCTTTTGGCATATATCTTAACCAATCAATCATTTTTTTATAGCAAAAAAATTAAAATTGTCATTAAATTATGTCATTAATAGAATCAAAGGTAACTTTTATCATAGCTAACCATAAAAATTAAAATTAAAAATTAATATTATGTTCAAAAGTATTTGAATTGTTTTAGCAATGAAAATTTTATTAAGACGTATTTAATTATTCTGTAATTCTGATATATTTTGAACTTATGAAGCATATATTTTTATCAAAGTTTCCAAATTTTTTTAGTTTTTTATCAATATAATCATATTTCAAACCTCAACAAGTGAATTCTGCTTTTTTTAATTTTTATGTGATTGGAGTAACTTTTTATAAATTACCCTTTTTTAGAAAAGTCCTATAATTTTTTTAAACATACTAGTTGTATTAGATTAAATTAAGTAAGGATTGCTAAAGAGCAATCAATATTGAATAAATTCATAATTGTTATATATATTTTATATATAAATCCACTAAATATTCTAATTTACTATATGCATTTATGATAGTTTTTTGTTGAATATCAATTTTTGATTTCTCTTAATTTAAATCTATTCCAAAATGAAGCTATTTTTTGTAATTTTGACTTTTCTCATAAACTATTATTAGTTAAAAATCTTTTGTCAATTCTATTTTTTATATTTTATTTAAAGGCAATCTCCTATAATCTTTTTATATAATTGGCTCTTCGATCAAAATTTATGAAAGAGATTTACAAAACTTTCCTAAAGTGAATGATCTTTGTCTCTCTTATGTGTAAGTATAATACAAATCGAAATAATCAATTCCCAAAATCACATTATTTCTATATTTTTTATCAATTTTTTATAATTCATATTCTTAATAAGAATATAAGTTTCGAACTTTATCTGTATATTCAGAGGATTTACCCTCATCTTACAAAAATCTATAAGACTTATTTGCACTTTTTGAGAAAATTGTATCTTTATTGATATTTAGTGTAAAACTATCTGTGAATTATCGTAATGAACGAATGGGTTCATTTTGAAATTTTTAAGTAAGTATTAAATAATGTATTGGTAACTTACTGATAGGTATCTTTATATTAATTGGTTCCTTACTCATATGAATACATGGATATTTTAATATTAAATTATAATCAGTGATTCTGTATTTCTTATTTACTTTTTTGCTTAATTCTATAAATAATTCTTCAATCAATTAATTTGGTCGAATTTGAATATGAAATCTACCTTAACTTATAGGTTCTTCAATAAGAATAAGAATATGATTTGGAAGTTATTAATGCAAGATTTTAACCATTTACAAACTAATATCTAATTATTTTGAATCTAATATTGGTACAATATCAACAGATTTATAATATCTCATAGGTGATTCTAAATCAATTTAAATAATTTTGTCATCTATATCATCTGCTAATAATGAAATTTCAGCCTATGAAATTGGTTTCTAATCATAATCTATTTCATTTAAACTTTCTCTTCTTGATTTCATCTTATCTTCAAGAGATCCAAAACTTTTGTATCTTTAGAGTGGTCGTCGATATTAAAATTCATCTAAATCTTGTTAATCATCCTACCCTTCAATTTAATAGGCTAAACTGTAATTTGGAAATTCATACAAAGATTGATCTAATTTGACGTCATTTTGGAATTATGTTAATGCTAAAACAATAAATTCTGCAGCCAACATATCTTAATCAATCATTAAGACTTTAGTTATTGTAGATCGAAAATAACGAACCTATATTGGTTTCTAATGTTATCTTATATTTGTAAGAAACACTCTAGAAAAATTAGATCTCTTAAATTTAATTTTCTCAAATGATGTTTCTATAATTTAATTGTTTTTTTTAATGAAATATTTTTCAGCTTTTTAAGGATTATGTTTATGGATAGATTATCCAATCAAAATTGTAGTTTAACATCTTTTTACTAATTTCTTTTTATTTTAAGATGCTTTAACTTATTTTAATTACGATCCACAAATGCTATTAGATTTTTATTCAGATGTCTAAGCTACATTTTCTTAACAATCTTTCTAAATAGAAATATCAACTTATGATTAATGAGCAGAATCATTAATATTTTTTTGATTATCTATATCTAAAAAGTTAGTTTTCTCCGATTTTAAAGGACTGCTAAATTATTTACTTGATTAGGAAGACTCAGTATCTGTTTATATAGATATAGATAAAGCAGAGAATTTATAATTTTCCATTATTAATTAAAATATTTATTTAAGAATCAATAACAATGATATTGAATCAATATATAAATAAACTCTGTTTAAATTTAAGCATTTTAATTATCTTATGCATTACAATGAATTCTTATAAATAAATATTAATTTCAATCTACATTAAGTTAATTAGTAATGTCCAATTTATATTTTTTCAGGATTAATATATTTCAGTATTATATATATCATTTTTTTAATTTTTATTTTACATATATCTGAGAGTATTATAATAGACTGGATAATATTATTGTTTCTTAACAGTATTTTATAATTCATAATATAATTAAATTTTAAATTTAAACCAGATGGATAAATACAAAAAAATTAGAGTAGTTGGAAAAGGTATTATGATAAAATAAATCAGGTAGTTTTGGATATGCCCTTCTTGCCTAGGCATTGTCAAATAAGAAAAATTATATAGTTAAAGTATCAAATGATTTAAATTAGATTATTGACATATCTAAGATGGATAGAAAACAAAGAGAGGAGGCATTAAATGAAGTCCATGTTTTGAAGGCAATGAGACATCCTTATATTATTACATATAGAGAATCATTCATGGAGAAAAAGTATTATTTCCTTATTAAACTTTTTGAATAGATGTTTATGTATAGTAATGGATTATGCCGATGGTGGTGATTTGTATGGTAAAATAGCTAAACAAAAAGAACTTGGAATTCTATTTTCAGAAGAACAAATATTAGACTGGTTTGTTTAAATGGCATTGGCAATGAATCATATACATGAGAGGAAGATTTTGCATAGAGATTTAAAAACTTAAAATATATTTCTTACAAGCAAAAATGATGTTAAAATCGGTGATTTTGGTATTGCACGTGTATTATAACATACATATGATTGTGCAAAAACTGCTATAGGAACACCATATTATTTAAGTCCAGAAATTTGTTAAGAAAAACCTTACAATTAAAAATCTGACATTTGGTCGCTTGGATGTATCTTATATGAATTAACTACTTTAAATCATGCATTTGATGCATTATCAATGAAAGAATTGGTTTTAAAAATATTACGAGGAACTTATCCTCCTATACCATCATAATATTCTTCAGAATTATAATCATTAATAGCTGATATGTTAATTAAGGATCCATCAAAGAGACCTAGTATAAAGAGAATATTAGAGAGAGATTTCTTAAAATAAAGAATAGGAAGTTTACTTGTTTCAACATTGAATAGACATGAATTATAAGAGATGACAGAAATAAAACCTACAGAAAATCTGTAATATATTAATCTTATTTATTAGTTTTATTTAACCACAATAGACTGCATAATAATTTATTTTACAATAAAAATAGTATGAATAAAATAAAATATCTTAAAATTAAAGTTAAAATAATTCACCTATTACTTCAAGACAGATTATTTAAACTATTGCAAGTAAGAAACCTTCACCTAAAAAGGACAATAGTAAAGTAGAGTTAAAATAATTGTTTAATAGACAAAATTCACCTTTGTAATCAATTAATTAAAATTATTCAATCCAATAATAATTAATACATAATTAATAATAATAACAATAACAAATGGATGATAGACCATAGTCATTTGCTAGTGTAGTTAGTTAAAAAGAGAATTAATAATAGCCTATTAAATATTAAAATTTAGAATTATTAAATAAATTTTATTTAAAAGATAATACTAATATAGTTAGACTATAAAATAAAAGTCCAATTTTACAAGAACAAAAAAGAAAGGAGTCTATTGTAAGTTTAGTAAGAGAAGATGACAGTTTTGAATAATAATAGGGTTATAAATTCCTTATTAAAGATATGAGAAAATGTTTGGATAAAAAATAATCAAAAGAAGAAGAAGAATCAATTATTGTTGACAATTTTAAAATAGTTCCATAGTAATATTTTATCATTAATTTATTTATAGATTTCTTAATTAATAAAAATAATTTTAAGTTCCTGGGACTTCTGAAAGAGACACTATAGGTTATAAGATAGAAGCTCTTAGATATTATTTAGAATAATAAATGGGTTTAGACTCTTTTATGAGAGCCTATTAGACCTTAGAGAATAGTTAGGAGAGTGAATAATTGAAATAAGCAAATTAATTACTAAATTAAGAATAAAGGAAATACATACCATTAATAATCTAATTAATAGTTTGTGAAGATTCATATTATTGATCTATAGTATTCAAATTAAAAAAATTATAAGAATTTCTCATTTCTTTAAATTATTAAATTTGAAAATATATTCCTCTTCTTAAATAATACTTTATAATATGTAAATATTCAACATTTTCTAATGAAAATTAATATAAAAAATTAATAAAATTTTCAATTTTGATTTTAGAAGTATTCTTTAGCCTTATTTTGAAACTTTTACATATTATTTTAAAGAAATAGGAAGGATGTTTTTATTTAAAATAAATGAATCTTTAGTTTCTAAAGATGTATTTTGATAATCTTTAATTTGAAAATTGTTAAAATAGAATTACTTTATTATATTTTTTAGATGAGTGTTATATTGATTCATTAGATTTGACAATATCTGTTAATCTTATAGAATCATATAATTCATATTTTATTGGTGTTAAAAATGATGACATTGTAATTATTATGAAAGTATGTAAATATATTAAATAAATATATATAAATAAATTAATGAGAGCAAACAATATTATAGTATAAGAGGAACCAAAATAAAATGTATTAGTTGCATTTTATAATACATTGAAGTCACTTATCAAATGTGAATGTTTTAAATAGTAATAAGGATTTTTAATTTATTAGATTTATGCCAATCTCTTATAATTAAAAGCCAATACAAATTCCAAAATAATCCCTTTAACATTTGGGTAGAAAGACATTAGTGATCGATTTAGATGAAACTTTGGTTCATAGTTCTTTCAATTATATTTCAGATCCAGATTTTATTTTGAAGGTTTGAATTATGTTTATTAAGAGATAAAAGTAATGAATGCAAATTATACAATTTATGTTAGAATAAGGCCTGGTGCTGAAGAATTCTTAATAAAAATGGCAGAATTTTATGAAATCTTTATATTTACAGCTAGTATTTGTGAAGTATATTAATGAATATATTTAAGTATGCAAATCCTGTGATAGATAGAATAGATTAAAAAGGAGTATGTGCATTAAGATTATTTAGACCAAATTGTTCAATATTGAATGGAGTTTTTGTGAAAGATTTATCAAAATTATAGAGATCAATAAATAACATAATAATAATAGATAATACTCACACTTCTTTTTCTCTTTAACCTAAAAATGCTATTCATATAAAAAATTATTTTGATGATCCTAGTGATACAGAATTATTAGATTTAATACCATTTTTATAATTACTAAGTACATTTGATGATGTTAGACCAGTTGGAGAATATTGGAAACAATATATAAGATCAGAAAAGATCAGATATACAAGGAATGGAGAATCATATATTTATGATAGGAATCGAAATGAATCTTATGATGTATAATATTATTATAATTAATTAGGAAGTAGATCCTATTAATTAGACTATTGATTAAGTTAAGGATGATTAAATGTTATTGGGAAAATAATAATTAAAATTATAAACTAACTTTGCTATTGATTACGATGAAGTGAATGATATCACAGAAAATGATGAAGAAATATAATTTAGAAATGAATAGGGAATTAATTCTCCAAATTTAAATAAATAGCATTTTAATGAAATAGATTAGAGTGATTAAAATTTATGATTAATATAAATTTTAATATAGTACAAATAATTATATATATATAAATAAAAAATAGAAATAAGTAGAAATGTCTTTGAAAGACTTTTAGATTTTGTAAGAACTAGGTAAAATATATTATTAATTTAGGTGAGGGAGCATACTCAAAAGTATATAAAGTAAGAAGAATTGCAGATGGTTTTGAATATGCTTTAAAGAAAGTGAAACTACAATCATTATCAGACAAAGAAAAATAAAATGCTTTAAATGAAGTTAGAATATTAGCAAGTGTCAGACATGCTAATGTAATTTAGTATAAAGAGGCATTTTTAGAGGAATCTACATAAAGTTTGTGGTATAAACTATTATTTCTAAATAGTATTGTAATGGAGTATGCAGATGATGGAGATTTATTCTAAAAGATTGTTGAATGTTAGAAAAAAGGAATGTTAATGGCTGAAAAGGATATTTGGAACTATTTTACTTAAGTAATTAATTTATCTACTTAAAGATAGTTAAGGGATTAAAGACATTGCACGATATGAAGATTTATCATAGAGATTTGAAATCAGCAAATGTCTTTATGAATGGAGATGGAACTGTTAAATTAGGTGATATGAATGTAAGTAAAGTGGCTAAAAAAATATTATTATACACTTAAACTGGAACACCTTATTATGCATCACCTGAAGTCTGGAAGGATTAACCTTATGATTCTAAATCTGATATCTGGTCATTAGGTTGTGTACTTTATGAAATGACTACATTAAAACCTCCATTTAGAGCTGAAGATATGAATGGTCTTTACAAGAAAGTTGTTAGAGGATATTATCCAAAAATACCAACTATATATAGTTAAGATTTAAGCAATGTTATAAGAGCTTTACTCTAAGTCTAACCTCATTTGAGACCATCTTGTGATAAAATCTTATAATTATCAGCTATTGTTAATAGAATGGATGATAAAGTCTTAATTGAAGAAGAAGGTGCTAAATTCTTATTGTAAACAATTCGAATTCCAAGAGTTATGCATTATCTTACTGATAAATTACCTAAACCTAATTATGCACCTATTAAAATGATGAGAATTGATAAAAATCAGTTTATACAAACTTTAGCTGTTTAAAAATCTAATCAAGATAATGTTGAAGATTCTGTAACGAATTCTAATATTGAACATTTACCAAGGATTGGTCGTAGATTAGATGATTCTTAAATTTAATCATATGATGCTTAATCTGTTATTAGTAAAAAATAGAATAAAATTGATGAATCTTATATGTTACCTAAACCATCTCTAGAGATTTCATCTTAAGTTACTAAAAATAATGAAAAACTCAATCTAATTCACTAGATTTATTCTGGTAATCCTGTTAAAGCTCTAAAGAAAAATAAAAAACCTATGAAACCTGAAATTTAGATACTACAATAAAAATTAGTATAAAAGAAACTTGATATTGAAGGTGAACCAAAACCTTTACTTATTAAAAAGTATATTATGTCTTATATTCTAAAGTGTTAAACATCAATAAGATGAAAAATCTCCATCTCCATTTTTACCTGCTCTTCCTGCCATTTCTAAAGAGAAAAGAATAATGAAAGACAATAATGAAGATGAATAATTGAAAAGGATTAAATAAACTGAAGAACAAATATAATTGTTAAAAGAAAAATAATTAAAATAAAAAAGAAAATATTAACTTAGAAATTCAGAGAAATGATTATTCTTTTATTAAAATATCAATTGAATTCATTTTTTTTATTTTTATTACTATTTTTATTAATTAAGAGGTGATAAATATTATCCAATATATTACATATATGTATTTTTGAGTTATTCTTTTATAGTTGGAGATTAAGATCTTTAAGATTTATTTAATTCAGGAGGAGCAGTTATAGGTTTAGGTGATTGAGATCTTTATTTCTTTTCAAAATCTGCTTTAATTCCTGAAGGTCTTATATTTTCTAATTCCTCTAAAGCCCTCTTTACAGGACTCATCTCAACATCTAAATTACGTTTATACGTATATCCCTGAAAATATTTCTTATTTAAATTTGATCCATTCTTATCCTAATCTGACTCTTCTCTATTATGAATTATATGTTTCCAAGGTTCTTTCTCTTCAAATTTATCAAAATTAGAAGTTAACATTTTTTTATCAGGAATATAAGGTGCCCTTTAGTTTCTAATATTAATAAAATCAATTCCATTAAAAAAAGGGTGTTTTTTGATTTTACTAGCATCACCTAATCTTTCATTGGCATCTGTCATTAATTTAGTGATTAAATCATAACATTATGGAGATACTTTTGGATTACTTGGAAATTTAAAATGATTTTTCCATTTTAATATCTTTTAACATGTTTTTTATGGAGTATCACTATAAAAAGGAGGATATCCAATTACCATTTCAAATAGTATTACTCCTACACTCCACCAATCAACTAATTGATTATATCCTTGCTATGAAAAGACTTCTGGAGCTATATAATCAGGTGTTCCAACTGTTGAATATGCTAATTATCTTCTCTATTCATTTCTTGATTTCTTTTAATCTATTATATTATTATTCATATTATAAGGAATTGCCATATCATAATGTTAACCTAAATGTTTACAAAGACCAAAATCTGATAATTTTAAATGACCCTATGCATCAATTAATATATTATCTGGTTTTAAATCTCTATGAATATAATTCATATTATGAATTTCCTCTACTGCTAAAACTAACTCAGCTATATAAAATTTTGCATCTCTTTCTGGAATGATATCTTTTTTTATTAATAATGTCATAAGATCTCCTCCACTTAAAAACTCCATTACTAAATACAAATTTTCATCATCTTAAAATGAAGACTTGAGTTCTACTATCCATTAACATTTTGATGAAACTAATATATCTCTTTCAGCTCTAACATGTCCTAATTAATTTTTGAATAGCATTTCTTTTTTCTTCATTTTTTTAATTGCAACTATTTCATTTGTATCTTTCTATCTACAAACCCTTACTTCTCCAAATGCTCCTCTTCCAATTATAGCAATAGATTCAAAATCTTCTACTGTTATTTTTTATCTCCTATAATATTATATATTTATATTAACTTCTTTCTTAATTGCATAGCTTCCTTATGTTAAATTTCCTTTTTAATTAATTCTTATTCAATAGAAGTAAAATTTAAATTTTGTAATACTTATTGCAATTACTGCCAATTTTGCATTTTTTCTCTCTCATTTGTAATTATTCTTTTATATTTTCTTTCTATATAGGCTTTACAAGCGGCAGTCCTATCCTTAGTTTGATTACTAATTTTAATCTCAGCCATTAATATTAATTCTAGTTTTTTATCTGAAAATAAATATTATTATATAAATAATTCATAATATAAACCAAAATGTTCTTTCTTAGAGTTATCAGACATATTATTATAAATATTTTCTAAGACTTTATTATGAGTTATAATTTATATTACTTATTAAGTGAACTTTATATTCTTTAATTATCTATGTTGAGTATATATAATTGATACTTAATTATTATCTAAAGAGTTAAATTTACTTCTTTGATATTATTAAAACCTTATAGAATTCTCTAATGTTATTTATAGAAATCTTTACTTAATGATATTTACTCTTTTATTAAATTAAGTATTAATTATTAACATCCATATGCTTTTCAATAAAAATAAATATTTTGGAGATGATATTTTCTAAGAATGAACATATTGATTGTATGATTATAAGGAAAGAAATCTATAATTAATTGATTTTATTTGGAAATCAATTATTCTTATTTTCTGAAGTAAATTCCCTTTTGAATTAAGTTTTTATATATCTAAAATATATTCAGTTGAATAAAGAACTTATTCTTTTTTTATTTATTAAAATTTTACTTATTTTAATTCTTGTAAATTTACCCTAGAATCAATTATATTTTTATTCTTTTATTATAAATCATTCAAGTATTTCCAAATAGTTTACTCATTTATATCATTTATATTGTATAATTCTTTTTATTTGAGAATAGCATTTATGGAAATAATTAATGTTAACGATTTCCAAAAATATTTTATTTATTGGGAGGTGGTGAATTAAATTTTGGAATGAAAGCTTATAATCGTTTAAATGAGAGATTTTAAGAATTTTTATTCGAAGCAATTCTTAGAAATAATAATTGCAATCAAATAAAAAATTAATAAAGATAAATATATTTCTACTTTTTGGATATGATATTAATTATGAATATAATCTAATTCAAGATGAACAATTAATATATCGATTTTAATCATCTAATAATTTCTACTTTTCTAATTTAACCAACTTCAATTAAATTGTTTGTAAAACATGATTTACTATATTATATCTTAATAATTTAAATCCTTTGTATCTTTACTTTTTTATCATATATATATTACTTATATTATTACTTTAATTTAATATGTTTTTTGTTTATTTTATGAATATTAAGATTAAGGTAGAAATTAATTATATTAATGAATTAGTTATTACAATTATAGTATATTTCTTTGTGCTCAAGAGTGTTGTAAGAATTAGAGAATCATACAGGGATTAAGGATAAGGTGTTGGCTGAATATATTATTGATTTAGGTAGATAAAGTAAGGATGAAAAGGAATTTAAATAAAAATTGGATGCAGCAAAAGCTGATTTTACAGATCAATTTACAAATTCTCTATTCAATATCATAAAGAAAATGTCTCCTTAAGAAAAAAAGTAAGTAGAACAGCCACCATAAATAGAGTAGGTAGTTAAAGAATAGAAATTCCCAGGATTAGCATTACCAAATCGTGAAATAGTTTAATTAGAGGATATGGAAGAGTAATCAAGATCAAGGTCATTATCAAAAAATAAGAAGAAGAAGAAGGATAAGAAAAAGAAAAAGGACAAAAATAAGGATAAAGAAAAGGATAAAGAAAAAGAAAAGGAAAAAAAAGATAAGAAAGAGCCATCTGCATCTCCATAAAGAACTCATAGAGATATAGAAAAAGGACATATATATGAGGGTGTTGTAACAAAAGTGCAAGATTTTGGAGTTTTTGTATAGATAGCTGGTTTTAAAGGTAGAAAAGAAGGTTTAGTTCATATTTCCAATATAAGAGAGAAAAGAGTTACTAATCCTTTTGATATATTGAAAAGGAATTAGAAAGTTTTTGTGAAGGTGATTAGTATAGTGAATGAAAAGATTGCATTATCAATGAGAGATGTGGATTAAAATACTGGTTAGGAGATAGAAAAGAAAGCTAAGGCAATGAATGAATATGATCAAGTGATAAAATAATAGGAGTAGAGTAAGGATAATAATAGATATGGAGCAATAACAGGTGTAAAATTAGATGTGGCATAAGATGCTTGTAAAAAGAAAGCAAAAAGAATAGCATCTCCAGATTTATGGGAAAAGACTAGATTAGAATATAATTCAAAATTGGTTCGTTAGATAGACAATAAAGCTATTGTAGAAGATTCAGAATCAGAAGGTTTTGTGTCAGATTCAGAAGATTTAGAAATAGATATGAATGATTATGAACCTCCATTTTTAAAAGGATAAACAACTAAAGCAGGAATAAATTTATCACCAATAAGAGTTGTGAAAAATCCAGAAGGGACTTTGTAAAGAGAAGCCTTACATGCTTAATAATTGGCAAGAGAAAGAAGAGAAATGAGAGAATAATAATAAAGAGCAATAAATGAATAAAATAGAGATAAATATAGAGAGGATCCTTTAGCTTAGATTTCTGGGAATATGAATTAAATGTAAGTAGAAATTCCTGAATGGAAAAAAGAAGCAATGTTCAAATCAAGTGTAAGGAATAGAACTCATATGAGTATTAAAGAATGGAGAGAATCTTTACCAATTTATAATTTTAAAAATGAATTATTGTCTGCTATAAAAGAGAATCGAATTTTAATAGTAATAGGAGAGACAGGTAGTGGAAAAACAACTTAGATTACATAATATTTAATGGAGGCTGGATATGGTAGAAATGGAATGAAAATAGGTTGCACTTAACCTAGAAGAGTTGCAGCAATGTCTGTTGCAAAAAGAGTGGCTGAAGAAATGGGAGTACAACTTGGAGATGAAGTTGGTTATGCTATAAGATTTGAAGATTGTACAGGTCCTAATACAATAATTAAATATATGACAGATGGAATGTTATTAAGAGAAGCATTAATAGATAAAGATATGAGTCAATATAGTGTTATAATGTTAGATGAAGCACATGAAAGAACTATTAATACTGATGTGTTATTTGGATTATTAAAATAAGTAGTTGCTAAAAGAAATGATTTTACATTAATTGTAACATCTGCCACTTTAGATGCTGAAAAGTTTTCATCTTATTTTTTTAATTGTAAGATATTTAGAATTCCAGGACGTAATTTTCCTGTTGAAGTATTTTTCACAAATGAACCTGAAGAAGACTATTTAGAAGCTGCATAATTATGTGTAATTTAGATTCATTTAGAAGAACCAGCTGGTGATATCCTATTGTTTTTAACAGGATAAGAAGAAATAGATACAGCATGTTAAGTACTTCATGAAAGAATGAAAAAATTAGGTCCTGATGCTCCTGAATTAATTATTTTACCTGTTTATTCTGCTTTACCTACAGAATTACAATAAAAGATTTTTGATCCTGCACCTACAGGAGCCAGAAAAATTGTTATAGCTACAAATATTGCTGAAGCATCTATTACTATTGATGGAATTTATTATGTTGTTGATCCAGGATTCTCTAAAATCAAAGTATATAATCCAAAATTGGGTATGGATTCCTTAATTATTGCTCCAATCAGTTAAGCATCTGCTTAATAAAGAGCTGGTAGAGCAGGAAGAACTGGACCAGGAAAATGTTATAGATTGTATACTGAATAAGCATTTAATACAGAAATGTTACCTACTTCAGTACCTGAAATATAAAGAACTAATTTGGCAAATACTATTTTATTATTAAAAGCAATGGGAATACATGATCTATTGAATTTTGACTTTATGGATCCTCCACCTGTATAAACTATGATTGCAGCAATGGAATAATTATATGCATTAGGAGCTTTAGATGATGAAGGATTGTTAACAAAGGTAGGTAGGAAGATGGCAGAATTTCCTTTGGAACCACCATAAGCTAAAATGTTATTGACTGCAGTTGATTTGGGATGTGTAGATGAAATCATTACAATTATTGCAATGTTATCAGAACCTAATATCTTCTATAGACCTAAAGATAGATAATAATTAGCAGATTAGAAAAAGGCCAGATTTCATAGACCAGAAGGTGATCATTTGACATTGTTAACAGTTTATGAACATTGGAAGAAAAACAATTTTAGTAATGTTTGGTGTCATGAGAATTATATATAAGCCAGATCTATGAGGAGAGCTTAAGATGTTAGAAAATAATTATTATAAATTATGGAAAGATACAAATTCTAAATTACTTCTTGTGGTAAAGACTTTTGGAAAATTAGGAAAGCTATAACTGCTGGTTATTTCTTTCATGTTGCTAAAAAAGTATTATAAATTATTAATATTAGGATTAAGCTGAAGGTTATAAAACTTTATCTGATAATCAATAAGTCTATATCCATCCTAGTAGTGCATTATTTAACAAAGGACCTTTATGGTGTGTTTATCATGAATTAGTAATGACATCAAAAGAATACATGAGGGAAGTATGTGAAATAGGTATATAATAATAATATTCTTTTAGAACCTAGATGGCTTATTGAGGTTGCTGAAAATTACTTTAAGGCTCACAATCAAATGGGATAACTCTCAAAAACCAAGAAATCAGAGAAACTCGATCCATTAAGTTGCAAATTTGGAGATGCTAATGCATGGAGACTAAGTAAGCGTAAAGGTTGATATTAAATATTATATTTAATATTATTTATATATTTCATGCTTGATTTTCCATGTATTATTTCTGAAATAAATAGAACAAAGTGATTATCCTCTATTTTAATTTAATGCTAGAAGAGTAAGTCATTTGGTTTTGTAATAATGTACTACTGCTAAATCTTAAAAAGTCTAAATGATTAATTTACAAAGGAAACCAATAAAAAACAATTCATTAATACATTGTTTTCGTTTATTAAAGGGATAAACAGATGACTATAATTTAAATTTAATCCAAACTGAAAAGAAAATAAGAAGTAAGAAAATTATAAATTTAAAACCATTGAAGAATGTAATTGAAAAAATAGCTTTAATAAGATAATNTATTTTATTATTAAAAGCAATGGGAATACATGATCTATTGAATTTTGACTTTATGGATCCTCCACCTGTATAAACTATGATTGCAGCAATGGAATAATTATATGCATTAGGAGCTTTAGATGATGAAGGATTGTTAACAAAGGTAGGTAGGAAGATGGCAGAATTTCCTTTGGAACCACCATAAGCTAAAATGTTATTGACTGCAGTTGATTTGGGATGTGTAGATGAAATCATTACAATTATTGCAATGTTATCAGAACCTAATATCTTCTATAGACCTAAAGATAGATAATAATTAGCAGATTAGAAAAAGGCCAGATTTCATAGACCAGAAGGTGATCATTTGACATTGTTAACAGTTTATGAACATTGGAAGAAAAACAATTTTAGTAATGTTTGGTGTCATGAGAATTATATATAAGCCAGATCTATGAGGAGAGCTTAAGATGTTAGAAAATAATTATTATAAATTATGGAAAGATACAAATTCTAAATTACTTCTTGTGGTAAAGACTTTTGGAAAATTAGGAAAGCTATAACTGCTGGTTATTTCTTTCATGTTGCTAAAAAAGTATTATAAATTATTAATATTAGGATTAAGCTGAAGGTTATAAAACTTTATCTGATAATCAATAAGTCTATATCCATCCTAGTAGTGCATTATTTAACAAAGGACCTTTATGGTGTGTTTATCATGAATTAGTAATGACATCAAAAGAATACATGAGGGAAGTATGTGAAATAGGTATATAATAATAATATTCTTTTAGAACCTAGATGGCTTATTGAGGTTGCTGAAAATTACTTTAAGGCTCACAATCAAATGGGATAACTCTCAAAAACCAAGAAATCAGAGAAACTCGATCCATTAAGTTGCAAATTTGGAGATGCTAATGCATGGAGACTAAGTAAGCGTAAAGGTTGATATTAAATATTATATTTAATATTATTTATATATTTCATGCTTGATTTTCCATGTATTATTTCTGAAATAAATAGAACAAAGTGATTATCCTCTATTTTAATTTAATGCTAGAAGAGTAAGTCATTTGGTTTTGTAATAATGTACTACTGCTAAATCTTAAAAAGTCTAAATGATTAATTTACAAAGGAAACCAATAAAAAACAATTCATTAATACATTGTTTTCGTTTATTAAAGGGATAAACAGATGACTATAATTTAAATTTAATCCAAACTGAAAAGAAAATAAGAAGTAAGAAAATTATAAATTTAAAACCATTGAAGAATGTAATTGAAAAAATAGCTTTAATAAGATAATAATAATAGCCAAGAAGAAAATCTGCATATGGAGATGCATTTGGTGAAATGACAGCAAAATAATTTTCTAATTTACCAACTCAAATTTAATAACATCATTAAATTGATGGTTAAAGATTTGCTTTAACAAGTTTTGCTGATATTTTAGAAAGAAAGAAATAAAAAAAAACTACAAGAAAACCTAGTTTACTTAGAAAATTAACTAAATAAGACACCATTGTTGGTAATTATTATTTTAATTAATTTAAGAATATGATAATATGGAAAGACCACCTTCATGTAAAACACCCCCTAGATAAACTACTAATAGATTAACTCATAAATCTTAAATGGAAATTTAAAAAGAAAAATATTTCAAAGTTTAAGATTGTAAAATGATTTAATTTTTAGCTGGAAAATCTGAATAATTAAAAATGTTAATGAATGGCAATAAAGCTATTACTCTTAATCTCTAATTAACAACTCCATAATCTTCTTAAATTATTATTAATCATAGAAATTCAGCCTTATTTCCAACACTTCCAATCAATAAAATTAGTAGATGTATAACTAACCCTTATGAAAATAAATTTGGTCTTTAATTAAGTAGTCGATCATTAAATAATTAAAATACTCCATATCTTAAATAAAATCAAATGCTCACAAAATTAATATAAATAGAACTTAAAAATTAATCTCATCCTTTATAGAGATTAAGTTATCATTTATGATTATATTTGATGTTAATTATTTACTATTTTTTATAGAGTATTAATAAAATTCACTCTCTCTCTCTCTTTCTATTTTTCATTCAATAGATGGTTTTCTGATGAATGAACTCTTTTTTGTATTTGTTTATCTTAATATTTAATGAATAGATTAAACCATCTATTATCTCTATCTAAAACTAGATAATTCTTGATTCCTTGCACTATTTAATATAGTAGGTTAACTATTATTTTTATTATGAGCAATCAAAGCCTTTGTTTTTTCTATTGTTCCCATTATCTTTTTATCAAATGATTCTTTAAATTATTATTATGTTATTTTATTTATTTGATTCTCTTTAAAATTACGAAAGGAAATCACTTTATTTTTTTCTTATAAGGCTTATCCTTTTATCCAAGGATGTTAAATTGCTTCATTAGCTTTCATTCTTAATTCTGGTTCCCAAACTAAACACTTTTGTATGAAATCAACTAAATCCTCTTCTGTTGTTTTAAGTAATTCATATAAATTAATTGATTTTGGTTTTCTATATTATTTGATAGTTTTCTTAGGATGTCCTTAATCATCAAAGAACATCTTTTTTCTAGGGCATTTCAAAGCAAATTCAACTTTAGGAATACCTATAACTTCCATTATCAAATTAAATTGATCTACTTCATTTTCTCCAGGAAACAAAGGCTTTCCAGTATGAAGTTCAGCTATTACACATGCCAAACTCCACATATCTATTTCATAACCATATTTTAAACCAAAAAATACTTCAGGAGCTCGATAATATCTAATATATTTTAAATTGTATACCTACTTTAAATATAAGTATAAAATTAATTACCTTCAAAACATCCAGTTCCAAAATCAACTATTTTAATTATTTTTTGTTGCATATCGCTAATCATAATATTTTCTGGTTTTAAATCACAATGTACAATATTGCATTACCTTAAAAAAATCAGACCTTTCACTATCTAATAAGCTATTTTCTTTAAAGTTTCATAATCAAATCCTCTAAATAATTGATATTTCAACATTTCAAATAAAGTGCAGTCCAATTTCTCAAAAACTAAACATTAATGTCCTCTAAATGTAAAATGATCTTATAATTTAACTATTGATTAGATATTCATAGGATCTTTTGCTTATATTGCAAGTAAGATATTTGTTTCAACCTATGCTTATTTTTTTAAATTGTCTTAATTTCTTATTATTTTCAAAGCAACCGTATTTTTTGTTTTATGATCTATTACTTCAAATACATGTCCAAAACTTCCAGATCCTATTTGTTATATAATTTCATATTGATATCTAACATGATCCTTAGGATGAGCTAAATAATCACCATTTGGTCCTTCTGATGATATCTTCTATGGCTTATAATAATAGACCTAAAATTTCAAGATTAATTACTTGTTTTAACCCTGTCAATTCACCGGTTTCGCTTTTGCTTAAATTATATAGCTTAACAAATTAATCAACAAGAAGAGGGAATTTGCTGAAAGTACTTTCAAAATCTGTTGACTTCTTCTATTATTGAGACAATAAATTTTAACTCGATAGAGAGTTTTAAACTAGTATTAAAGGTTATTGAGTTTTAATATTTTTGGCAATCCCATTTGGACTATTTGGTTGAGTACTTATTTTTTTAGTTGAAGATGGTAAAGAATTCTAAAATTCAGCTTTAAATGTTGCGAAATCTAAATGAATTGAGAGTTTCTTAGGATTCGAATATTTCATTAATTCAACACTTCTGTTAAAATTATTATGAGATTTAATTTTATATTGATTGTACATTTAATTCTCAATAATTTCAAGTAAACATAAAATTATCGATAAAATAGATCATCCTTGGACAAATTTTAGTTAAATTTTCATTAAAATTATTTATAGATTCTGAAAACATAAAATTAAGATATTTAAATATTAAATGAATTTTAACTTGTATTAATCTAAAAAATACTGACTATTTATAGTTATAATGATTTAGAATTATAAAATAATATTCTTTCAAAAAAATAACAATAAGAGCTATAATTAGATATAATCATTCTTAGTACTAAAGCTACTGAAAATATTATTAATTAATTACTAATAAAAATTGTTATAGAATTTACTCATATACTATATTCTTACAAATAAACTATTCAAGATAAAAATTACATATAAGTTTATCAGATTAGATAAATAATTAAATTAAACTTAATTTATATATAGATGAACATTATTTATAATAAAATATAAACACTCATTAAAAATATCAAATTTAATGCTAAAAATATCAATTTAATAAAATAGTTTAATAGAATCAAAGTAATTTAATAGAAATTAGTTTGAAAATTACTATTAAAATATAAATAAATAAGTGTTTTATTAAAAGAAATTATTATCAATAATCTATTTACTATTATCATAATAATCAATACGATTATTTTCAAGAAACTTCTTTTTTTTATAATTTCTATTTTTATTATTCTTTAAACTCTTTTATTTTCTTATCAAAAATACTTAATTATCTCATTTATTTTTCTTTTTCTTCTTAATCTTCAAGTTTTTATTAATATGAAAAATTGAAGTTATAGGTCTATTCTCCTGAGAGTTCTGTTATTTTGTGACTTAATACTTTTTCAAAATTGACTTAGATACCTTTGTTTTCAGTTAATAATTTATGTGAAATTCTTTATTTTTATGGATTGAAATTTTTAGCATACTTAGGTTTATTATCAATGTGATCATTGGATCTATTACTCTTGAAATAACTTTAATCAATTTTTTAGTCATCATAACTCCTATTTGAAATTTGGGCAGGTATATTTAATGTAGATTATTCTTTTTAATTTACTTTGATGGGAGGTAATGATGATGGTTTTTTGTCTGTATGAACACCTTAGATTAATGATTTATTCTGAGCTAATAAATGTTGGTATGACTCAAATATTCCTTATTTCTTCTTAAATCCTTTAGTCTTATATTCATGTAGATATCTTGGAATGTATATATCCTTTTATTTAACAATATATTCTGGTCTTTCAACAGAATCTATAGTTTAAATTAAAGGATTATAGATTTGAACAGGAGGTAATTTTTTAGTTATGTAATATGTTGGTTTATCATTTTAGATTAAAGCATCTTGATGTAAGGGACTATTAAATTATCGATTGTTTGGAAGATGACTTGAGCTTTGGTATCTCATAATGTCTTTTACTCTTTTAGTAGGTTAAGGATCTCTATTCTCAAGAAATTTAAGCATTTTATTATTTTTAAAATATGAAATTTAGCATAGAAATTGAAAGGAGTTAGTACAGTATATATTTTAAAAGTTGAATAGATAGTATTTGATATTATATACAGATTATCTATTTGATACTAAGTATATTATAAATTATAATATTAATTAATTGAAAATGAGTTAAAAGAGATTGCCTTCGGTATTTTTGAAATATTTATATAAAGGGAAAATAAGACAGACACATTTAGGCAATAAAGAAATATTAGGAATATGAAAATAGTAAGACAAGTTAAGCTAAATTGAATGATATGATTAAAGTGAAATGAAATTTAATTTTTAGGGGACTAAAACAATTTAATTATTACCAAAGCCAGGTGAATTTGTTACAGTTGCTTCAGACAAATAATCAAATTAATAACCATATATGGATATTCCAATCAAAGATTTATTAGATGGCACTAAAACATTTACAGAATTGAAACTGCAAAGCATAGAAAGATAAACTTAGAGATAGATGAAGAAACCTAGGGAAAAAGATAGATTTGATGAAGGTGTTTTAAGAAGAGATGATTTGAAACCACCATAAAGTGAATTAGATGAAGTATTGATATTTTTTAATAATATTAAAGTTTGGAGTGGAAAGAGGAGTCTAACCTAAGTTTACATAAAATATTAGAGAAATTATGAAAAATTAACATAAAGAGATGTTGACTCCTGCTGAATAATTGATTAAAGATTTATAAGAGAAAAGATTGCCTTAAATTTAATATTCTCATTCTTAAAAGATTGTTCGTCCAATATCTGCTAATTTTGTTATTAAGGCTTTGAATATAGGAGAAGAGAAATTAGAAAACTCTAAAGGAATATAATAATCACTATTTCGGACTAAAAGAAGTTAATTACAATCTGCAAAACCTAGAAATTTATATGTTCCACATTTTCCAGAAGAAATAAAACATTTAACTGGTTATCAAACAATTAAATTGAAAGCAGATGATTTTATATAAACATATACAGAAGAATATTTGAAAGAGAAGGAAGAAAAGATGTTGAAAAAACATTTTTAAGTTTCAGCTGTTGATCCAAGATTATAATCACCATATATGAGAGTATTAATATTATTATTAATAATAGGTTAATCCATATACAGAATAAATAATAAGAGAAAAGTAGAATGAATTAGGAGAATTAGAATTAACTAAACATAGAGAAAAACTATTTATGGCATAACCTTATGAAATGAAATAAATATTTTTACCATTAGATTATTATTATATGGAAGATGAGACAGGTGATGAATTAATTGAATAATATAAAGAGAAAGATGGGAAATGTTTTGGATTTTCAAAGTGGTTTGATACAAGTGGAAATTTTATATGGGAAGAATGTTTAGTTGAAAAATATATATATGATACTGATATGTATGAGATTAGATTTATAAAATACAATAAGATTAAATAGGTAACAAGAGTAAATCTTAGATTTAAAAGAGAGAGTGAAGAATATTTTAAATAATAATTAGAAATTGCAGATTATTATAGAAAAAGAAGTGAAGTGTTTATTAAGTATAATTATATGATAGATAAAATGGATGATCCAACATCATAAATCTAAGAAGATTAATTAATGAGAATATAATTATTTGCAATGGGAATCTATTTTAAATAAGGATCTATAAGAGATCCTATTGCATTTTATAAATTAGATCCATCAATTAAATTTAATTTTAAAAGATATTTAATTCCAAAATAATTAAGTAGAATAGATTTAGGTCCAAAAGAATTGTGTAAATTAAAGAAATATAGATATGATTTAATGATTGAACTTTCAGAAGAAATTAAAAAATAATTCATTAGAGCCAATCATGAAATTTAATTTAAAAGAATGTTACCATATCATGAAGAAAAGAAAGCAATTTTTAAAGGTTATTTACCAGATGAATTATTTCAACCTAAATATGTAGAAGCTAAATTTCCATCTTATGGTATAGGATAACAGAAATTTATTGAATTATTTACTTATATGAAAAAGAATCTTCATTAAGCTGTTTAAGAAAAAAATAAGGCTTTATAAGATGCAAATATTAATTTAATTAAATTAGAAGAATAACATCTATTTTGTCAAAATTATCTAGAACCTTAAGATCTTCATGAATTGGATAAAGATATGAAATTTAAGATTGGTGATGCTATAAGAGATTTAAAAACTAGAATGTATGATGTACATTATTTAATTATGGAAATGATCGAAGTTGAAGTTAAACAACTTAAAGTTATAGAAGAAGAAAGACTTAGATTAATTGTTCTTGAAGCAGAAAGACTTAAAATTTAAGAATAAGGTTTAATGAGTGAGACACTTAAATTATTATAATAATTTTAAAAGTTGATTAACATTAAATTTGAAAGATCTGGATTAGAAATGTGGTAAAGAAGCATAGCAAGATTTATCTCATATATTGAAATACATGTTGATTAAAATCTACCTCCTTTGCAATAAATTTATTAATATGCAAAAGATAGAGAATATAGAGTTTTTAATGATAATTTATTAATAAATATAGAAATTAAAGTATAAGGACTTTAATTGATACTTGAACCTAATCCTGAAGAAATTAAGAGATCATTGAATAATTATGTTTGGTTAGCAATCAAAGAATTAACTACTGTGCCTTGTATGAGAAGTAGAGAAATAGAATCAGCAAGAGAAGATATGATTATGCATATTTTTACTGGCATAGATGATATTGAAATACTAAATAATAAATAACTTGTTCAATAATATTTAGATTTAAATTTCAATCTTTTTAATGTATATTTTGAAAAGTTAAATGAATTTGAATCAATTTTAGATTATGATATTGAAAAGAGATTAAAAAAAGGATCTTTTGAAGAATATGCTAAAGAAATAGATAAATTAATTATGATTAGAGAAGATATGTAAAAGTATATGTTTAAGAAAAAATTGAGATTAGGATTTTATTATTTGAATGTAGAACAATATTAATAACTTTGTGAGGATAGATTAAAGAAAGCTTCTGATAGTTTGTATGAAAATTTAATTTAAAAGATTACTAAAGAAAATTTAAAGATTGAAGGTGAGATTAAATAAATGATATAAAAATTAACAGAAGAACCTAAAAATCTAGAAGAAATGGATGCTTTAAGAACATATGCCAAAGATTAATTAAAAGAAGAATTAGTGATATTGAGTAAGAAAATAAATAAAGTAATGGAAAAGATGACTTTAATGGAGAAGATGAATTATAAGATAAGTTATTAGAATTTTGAAAAAACATGGAATATTTATGGTATGCCATTAAAATTGATGAGAAAATAGGAAAAATGTTTGAAAAGGTTGTAGAATAATGAAAAGAAATTTTAAGATGATTTGATGACATAATAAGGTGAATTGATTGGTGAAATAAATTATATTAGTAAAGAATTAAATGAATTAATAAATGAAGAAGATATTAATTAGATAAATCAAATAGCTAATAGATTTGCAGATTTAGGAGAAAAAATGGAAAGAGCAATAGAAGAGGCAGAAATAATTAATAGAAGAGAAGCTATATTGAAATGGAAATTGACAGATTATTAAGAAATAGATAAAATAAAGAAATTATTCACTCCATATTATAAAGTATGGGCATTGGGTAGAGATTATTATTTCAAAATTCCACCAGCTTTAAGTGGACCATTAAATAATATAGATAGAGATCAATTAACTTAGGATGTAACAGAAGCATGGACAGAGTTATTTAAATTAGAAAAAACAATTTTTAAAATAATCCCTCATATGTATTAAGTTAGTATGGCTATAAGAAAATTATATGAAGATTTTAAACCTTATTTACCATTAATTAATGATTTAAGAAATCCAGCTTTAAAAAAATAACATTGGGTTAGTTTAACATAATTATTAAAATTGGATGAAGATCCTAATTTCTCATTAAACACTTTATTAGAAAAGGGAGTAATGGATTTAAAAGAGGAAATTAGAGAAATAAGTGAAACTGCATCTAAATAGAGTTCATTTGAAAGATCAATCAATAAGATGAAGAATGAATGGAAGAATATTAAATTTGAATTAATTTTATTTAGAGATACTGAAACATACTTATTAAAAAGTGTTGAGCCTATTTTAGATAAATTAGATGAAGATATAACTAAAATGATGAGTATAGCAAGTTCACCATTTGTAGCATTTTTATTATAGGAAGTAAATTCTTGGAAAGCCTAATTATTTAGAGCATAAGAAATGATTGAATTATGGTGTAAAACACAAAAATCTTGGTAGTATTTATAACCAATATTTTATTCTGAAGATATTATAAGAGAAATGCCTAAAGAAGGTAATAAATATTCAGTTGTTGATAAAATGTGGAGAGCATTAATGTTAGCTACATTTTAATAACCTTTAGTAATGGAAGCATGTTTCTAAAATAGAATGAAAGAGAACTTTATATTTATGATTGAATAGTTAGATTAAGTTATAAAAAGCTTAAATGATTTTTTAAATAAGAAAAGAACTGCTTTTCCAAGATTCTTCTTTTTATCTAATGAAGAACTTTTATAGATATTAGCATAGGCAAGAGAACCAAGAGCAGTACAAAGACATTTATAGAAATGTTTTGAGGGCATTAATGAAATTACTTTTTAGGAAAATATGTTGATAACTCATATGATTAGTAGCTCATAAGAAATAATAAAAATGATTACTGATGTGAATCCTTTAAATTCAGAATAAGCAGTAAGAGGAGTTGAGGATTGGTTATATGAAGTATAATAGTCTATGAAATTAACAATTAAAACTTTGATTCCTTAAAGTGTACAGATAGTTTCTACTAATACTTTAGATAAATCTATTGTTTAGATTCCTGCATAATTGTGTGTTTTAGCTCATGAGATAATATTTACTAATATGGTTACTTAATTTATTACTGATTATGAAAAGGATGCAACTTCTATTGATAAATGCATCTAATAAGCAAATAAAGTATTAATGAGTACAGTTTAATTATT